GTTGTTCCAGCTAGCGGGACTGGCCTAAGGGATTTTAAAGGGGTTTTAATTACTTTTAATCTGACATATTTAAATATTTCTTTTTAATCAAATTTTAATTAGGTATAATATGTATAATATGTTAGTATTTTATCCAATTGTCAGCCGCCCTGAGTCCGCAAGGAGAAGGGCGGGATATAAATGTAATTAATAAAATAAATAAATAAATAAATAAGGTGAGGCAGGGTGGGGGTGCCATTGTCACAGGGCAAGGTGAGGCAGGGGCCGGGGTGGCTGCTGACACCATTGGGCCCTGCACACAGAGGCCAGCGAGCGCATGGGTGCTGGGATGCATCCGGCCATGTGGGACCTCAGCGAGTTAGCGGGCGGCTGGTTGAAGAGGGACAGTTGCCATCTCCGAGGCATGGGGCATGTGCCCACAGAGAGGGCTCTGAGTGCCGCCTCTGGCATGCATGCCATAGGTTGGCCACCACTGATATATATATACACATACACACACATAGAAGGCCAGATCCTGAAGTGGAAACTCAAGTCCTTTGGCCCCCTAATGAGAAGGAAGGACTCCCTGGAGAAGGGCCTAATGCTGGGAAAGATGGAGGGCAAGAGAAGAAGGGGACAACAGAGAATGAGGTGGCTGGATGGAGTCCCTGAAGCAGGAGGCCTGAGCTTCAATGGACTCCAGAAGATGGCAGAGGACAGGAAGGCCTGGAGGAACGTTGTCCATGGGGTTGCGATGGGTCGGACACGACTTCACAACTAACAACATATACACACATATACATATACATATGTACATATATACACATACATACAGACAGACAGATATACATACATACACACACATACATATACGGGGGGGCGGAGTCAACGGGCCAAATCCAATCCCTCTTGCATTACCAAAATATCAAAATAGCACCCAGTAGTGCCAAAATGCAGATAGTCCTCAAGTTATGACCACAGTTGAGCCCCCAAATGGACCCTCCTCCAAAGTCACTGATAAAAATGTGGAATAGCACCCAGGGGATTTAACAAAATAACAGTGTTGGAAGGGACCTCGGAGGTCTTCTAGTCCAACCCCTTGCTCAGGCAGGAGACCCTATCCCATTCTGGACAGGTGGCTGTCCAGTCTCTTCTTAAAAGCCTCCAGTGATGGAGCACCCACAACTTCTGGAGGCAGGTCGTTCTGCTGATTAATTGTTCTAGATAGCCTGGCCCTGTGCCACAGAGGGCTTTAAAGGTGAGGACTAGCAGCTTGAATTGCACCTGGGAGGAAACTGGGAACCAGTGCAGCTCACAGAACAGAGGTGTAGTAACATGGGCAAACTCCTATCGCTGCACACAGGGCTGCCTTCTGGATCAGTTGTAGCTTCTGGAGGGTCTTCAAGGGCAGCCCCCCGTAGTGTGCATTTGAGCAATCCGGACGGGAGGTGACTAAAGCAGGAGAGACTGTGCAAAGCCTCCCAGTCCAGGAAAGGGACAATTGAAGCACCAGACCAAACACACACACACACACACACAATCACAGTTGCCACCTGCTCCTCTAACAGCAGCCCTGAGTCTAGGAGGACCCCCACCCCAAATTGCAGGGGTCCTGGAGGATTTACACCCTGGGGAATTCTGGGAGATGAAGTCAAAGGTCCCTCTGCCCCTTTTGAGAAGGACGTGTTAAGTGAGTGTTGAGGGCCACAGAGGATGGACTTGGTGATACTTGAAACATGGGTTTTGTGGTGTTTTAAGGCTTCTGGGAAATTACCGGCAAGACAATGGAGAAAGCAAATTCAAAATACAAGAAAAGCCACGTGAATTAGCCAGTGCCAACAGCATTGCAAAAACCATCTCTCAAGTACCGCAAAGCCCATCCTCCCTGGCCCTCATTTTGTCCCCGTTTACGACTTTCCTTGCCACCGTTGTTACGGGAAGCATTGCATTTGTTCAATTAGTCACACGGTTGTGTAAAGTGTAAAGCACCACAGCTGTCACCAGGGAGCCGGACCTCTGCCAGGGCTATTTGTAAAAGATGTCACTGCCCTGGAGCTTTGCCCAAAATTGCGCGAAGGGCGGGTAAACAGCCAGGCGGTTGTGTGTGTGTGTGTGTGTGTGCGCGCGCGTGCCTTCCAGGATAAAAGCCACCCTGCCGTCCGGGCTGTGCAGTCAGCGGTCGCAGAGTGGGTTCCCATCGCCTGTGGAGTGGAGGAGCGATGAATAGAATAGAATAGAATAGAATAGAATAGAATAGAATAGAATAGAATAGAATAGAATAGGAGCTGGAAGGGACCTTGAAGGTCTTCTAGTCCAGCCCCTCTACCGTCTCGATCAACTCTACCATCTCAGACAAGTGACTGTCCAGCCTCTTCTTAAAATCCTCCAGGGATGGAGCGCCCACGGTTTACGGGCTTGCGGATCCTGCCGGAAGCCGAGCTGTGGGGCTTTGCCCGTCAGCCCGATGGGGACTTCCGACGGTGGGCCAGTGGGAGCCTCTTCCACCAGCCGGTGGGCGACCCGCAGGGCCCTTTGAACCCGGCGGACCGGCTGCGCGTGGTGCTGCTGGACGCCTGCCCATTGCTGGCCCTGGAGGAGCCCGGTCCCAGCTCGAAGGGGCGGACGTGGATGCCATTCCCCCGTGGGCGCGGCCGGCACCAGCTGGCCCTCGACGTGGGTGGCTTCTCAGCGGAGGAGCTGTCGGTCAGTCTGGAGGGGAGGAAGCTGACGGTCCTGGGCCAGCACGAACTGGAGACGGCGGCCCTGGACGGCTGCCTGTGCCGGGAGACCCGCCAGTTGCGCCAGGAGCTGCTGCTGCCCCCCGACGCCGACCTGGAAGCCCTGACCTGCGCCCTGGCCCACGACGGGCATCTCCGCGTCCAGGCCCCGCGCCTGCAGCGCACCATCCCGGTCACCGTGGAGAGGAGCCCGTCCGAGGCCAGCGAGACGGATGGAGGGGCCGAGGCCAGCGCTGCGGGAGGAGGCGAGAAGCTGGACGGGGCGGGGGAGCAGTGAGGCGGCTTCCAGCCCAGCGTTCCGGTTAGCGGGCTTTGGACGGCGTTTTTCCAGGCGTCACGCAGCAGCGAGGATGGGGCCGGGGTCCTTCTGTATGTACCAGCTGCGGGGGGAGGGGACGCACTTCTGTCGCTTCATTCACACGACTCGGGTTCTGAGCAGTTCTTGGCAAATAAAGCTAATTTCCGTCAGACTCGCTTTGGCCCGGCCTGAGTTAATTGGGGGGGGGGCATTGGTGGGGGTACCTCAGGAATGGAATGGAACAGAATAGAAATAAAATAGGATAGGATAGAACAGAATATAGAATAGAATAGAATAGAATAGAATAGAATAGAATAGAATAGAATAGAATAGAATAGAATAGAATAGAATAGAATAGAAATAGATAATGAATAGAATAGAAAGATGAGTAGAATAGAATAGAAATAGATGAATAGAATAGAATTAGATGATGAATAGAATAGAATAGAAAATATGGAATGGAATAGAATAGAATAGAAAATATGGAATGGAATAGAATAGAATACAAATAATGAATAGAATAGAAAGATGAGTAGAATAGAATAGAAATAGATGAATAGAATAGAATTAGATGATGAATAGAATAGAATAGAAAATATGGAATGGAATAGAATAAAAATAATAGAAAGATGAGTAGAATAGAATAGAAATAGATGAATAGAATAGAATTAGATAATGAATAGAATAGAAAATATGGAATGGAATGAATAGAAAATATGGAATGGAATTCTATGGAATAGAATAGAAATAATGAATAGAATAGAAAGATGAGTAGAATAGAAATAGATGAATAGAATAGAATTAGATGATGAATAGAATAGAATAGAAAATACGGAATGGAATAGAATAGAATAGAAAATATGGAATGGAATAGAATAAAAATAATGAATAGAATAGAAAGATGAGTAGAATAGAATAGAAATAGATGAATAGAATAGAATTAGATGATGAATAGAATAGAAAATATGGAATGGAATGAATAGAAAATATGGAATGGAATTGTATGGAATGGAATAAAATAGAAATAGATAGATGATGAATAGAATAGAAATAGATGAATAGAATTAGATGATGAATAGAATAGAATAAACTTTATTGTCGCTTTAAATGCACACTAATCGACATGCATTAAAATGACATTTCGTTGCATGCAGCTCTCAAAGGGTCACCACCTCCAATATACAATACCAGAAGCATGACAAAAGATTATGCATATAATCACACACACACACACACACACACAAATATATAACAGAGAAGCAACACAGTCTAGTTCGGATGTAGACATGTACATGACGAGGAAAAAGAATCCTCTGAATCCAGCGGGTCGCTCCTAAGGACCCGGGTAAGGGGGAGCGTGGGACAGTTGGGTGATGGGGGGGCATGGAGAACCTAAAACGGAGCATCTTCGGTTTTCGGTTGCANCATCTGCTTCTTCCAACAGAAATCCTGGGGGGGGGGAGATGGCCTGGAGCCCCAGGAGTGTCCCTCGGAACGCAAAACGGCCAGGGGGCTTAAATCCCCTCTGAAGGGCCGAGAGGGTGGGGGCGGATTTCAACTTGGGGGGGGGCATGATGTTCCAGAGGCACAAAAGTCTCTTCCCCTGGTCCCCCCTGCCATCCTGGCTTCCTGGACCAATGCAGTCAGCAGCATCCCGCTTCCGCTGCTGTGGGTGGCAGCGGCCCCCCAAAGGTTTTGGTCCCAAGAATTAGTTTTGTGGAAGAGAATTTTTCCATGGACGGGGAGGGAGTGAGGGAAAGGAGGAGGAGGAGAAGTGTGGGAAACCGTGACCTGAGTCTCCCGGCTTGGTTTCAGACCCCGCCCGGGGGCCGATTCATGAGTTGTGATATGAAGACACCACACCAGGTTTCCTCGGGATGAGATCGAGCCCAGAACAGTCTCTGGGGACCTCTTTTATTAGCAATCGTAACAAAGCAAATTTCAGCCAATACAAGCAGGAGGTTGCAAAAAGGTTACAAGCAGGGGGAGTTTTACAAAATGTCTCTTATCTATTACATGGCATAAGCGACTAACTAACGGTTGACAGTAAAGTTGCAATTATGGTTCACATTGGAAGTCTTATCAGGAGGTGATAATATTATAGCTTGTGTAGACAGCTTTTTTGACTTGTTTCTTTGTTCTCTGTCCTTACGTGTTTGCAGCTGCAGATTGCAGCCTAACACGTAGGAATGAAGAAGTGTAGGATTAAACATACTGAAGGTTACAAGATGGAGTGACTTATGCTATATTCCAACAGAGAAGCACGCAACCGAGATCTCGTGCATGCAGTTTTTCTTGCCCACGGCTCACCTCCAGCTATGTGGCCCGGTTCCTAAGAGGCCACGTACTGGTACCGGTCTGCAGCTTGGGGGGGGGGGAAACCCCTGGCCTACAGAATTTCTGGCAAGCAAGACCAGGCTATTGGCCAACTCTGCCTCTTTATTTGGGCATCTTGTCATCCTGGAAGATCCGGCAGAAGGATCTTCTGGAGCTGCCTCTGAAAGGGCCCCCGGAGCTCGGCAGGTTCAGGGTGCCTGCCACAGTTTACCAAGCAGGGCTGGGTAGTCCCTGGATGGGAGACCACCAGGAAACCTCCGGGCGGGCAGCTACGTTGAAGATGCTCCAAAGGGTCCCGAAAGAAGGCGATGCTTGGGGAGTTTTTTTTGCCCCACCCCCAGAAATCCAGAGGGACTCGTGGTGATCCCGAAGACCCTGACGGCACCCAGAGTAGAGACCCCAGAGGAAAGGGCACCTCCAGGTGAGCCCCAGCGAGGATTTGATCAGCCTTTCGGAACGGAGACCACCAGGAAATCCCAGGATCGTGGGATACGCTGAGAAGGGGAAAAAAAAACACAACCTCCTCCGACAGAAGCAATCGCGGTTCAGGTCGGTGCTCAAACTAGACACGTGTCATGTTACATTCCGACGAGCTCCCAGCCTTCCGGTTGAACTTCTGCCTGGCTTCTGCCAAAGGAGGAGGGAGGAGTCTTGTGATCCATGCCGGAGGGGGGGGGGAGATCCTGGGGTGCCCCCCCTTCATTCATGGGGCTGTAAGGGATCCCTTCGCCAGACTCCAGAACCCTCGGACTACAAGGCCCATCAGCCTCCGCCACCGCGGCTGCGGATAATGGGTTTTGGAGTCAGCCGCCGGTGAGTGGTGCGGGCGCAGAGGGCGACCCCGCCCCGCCCTCAATGACGCTAGGGAGGGTCTCCCCCTCCCTTCTCCCTCCCTCCCGAGGTGCGGGAAATCCCCGGCTGGAGCCACGTGATGGGGTTTCCCCCGCTCCGCCCCGCCCCTCCTCGGATGGCGCTTCCGATTGGCCAAGCCTTGGCGTCCATCAAGGGAAAAGGGAGGGGAAACAGAACTCTCCGTGTGTGCCCCCCTTCTCCCCCCTCCTTTCCATCCCGTCGTTGATTGGGTGAGCCTTGACGTCCATCAAGAGGAAAGGGCGGGAACAGAGAAGTCTCCGTGCGCCCTTCTCACCCCCTCCCTTCCCTCCCGTCGTTGATTGGGCGAGCCGTGGCGTCCATCAAAGGGAAGGGGAGGGAAAAGAGAACTGTCCGTGCGCTCTTCTCCCCCCTCCCTTCTATCCCGTCGTTGATTGGGCGAGCCATGGCGTCCATCAGGAGGAAAGGGCGGGAAAAGAGAACTCTCCGTGCCCCTCCTTCTCCCCCCCTTCCTTCCACTGATTGGACGAGCCGCTTGGCGGCGGCGCCCTGATTTGTCGTCGCGGCCGCCGATTGGCCGTCCGTGGGTTGACGTCACGCCCGTCGCCTGGCCGACTGAGGGGAACCCCGTTTCCTCAGAGTTTACCTCAGAAGCGGCCGGGGCGGCTCCTTCTTCTCCGCTTTCGGACCGGGCGAGCGACGAGCCACGGCGGAGGCGAACCAGGCCGGCCTCTCGCTCCGTCTCCTCCCGATAGGAGGAGCCGAGGAGCCCCAGTGCCGCCGTCGGGCCGGCTCCGGAGCTGCCGCCGCCGCCGCCCCGCCGCTGGAAGAAGGCCGAGGCCGGGCGACGAGAGGCTTCGGGGAAGGCCCGGGGCGGCCGAGGGAGCCGTCGCGGGGGCCTCGCTCCTTCCCCCTCTCCCGCTTCTTCCTCCCTGCCTTCAGGCGGCCTTTGACTCCCGGCCGCCTCCGAGGTAGATTTTCTCCGTCGTGGCCGGGCGCTCACCTGGCCTTTCGGGTCTTCCAAGCGTGAAAAGGCCTCCTCCTCGTGGCTGCTGGTTGCCCTTCAGACGTGGCCTCTTGAGTGCAGGCGGTCCTCGACTTACGACGGCTCGTTTAGCGACCGTCCCGAGTTGCAACGGCCCTGGGGAAAAAAAGGGACTTGTGACCGTTTTTCACGCTTTTCGACCGTAGCCGCATCTACAGGGGTCCCATGATCGAAATTCAGACCGCCCGGCAAACTGACTCGTATTTATGACGGTCGCAGCCGCATCCCCAGGGTCACGTGATCGAAATTCAGCTGTCCAGCAAACTGACTCGTATTTATGACGGTCGCAGCGTGTCCCGTGATCCCCTTTTGCGACCTTCTGACCAGCAAAGTCAAGGGGGGGGGGAACCAGACTCACTTAACGACCGTGTGACTGACTTAACCACTGCAGGGCTTCACTTAAGAACCGTGGCAAGAGCAGGGCTGTGGAGTCGAGGAGTTGGAGGAAATTTTGGGTACCCGGAGTCGGAGTCGGCAAACAATGCACCGACTCCGACTCCTACTAAATTTAGTTTGGAATTTTAAAAAAAGCAAGTTTAAATGTCCCAATTCACAAAAAGTTACAATTAATGACTTCTCTACTGTAAGAATAAAGACCAATGCATGCAGTGCCTCACGTAACCGCAAAACGAACACGCTAAGTGACCGTGAAGAAGCATGCTTTTCATGTGCTTCGCTATATGGCACGCAACGCACAATTAGGAGCGGCAATACTTAATACTTTCCATAGTGTTGTGTTCTGCTGTTACAGGGAACGCAGCAGCGCCCATGGGTAACCTAGCCTCTCACCGATAAGGGATTAAGTAAATATGTTTTTTTGCAGGACTAGAGACACTTGTATAAGTGAAGGGAATGGAGGGTCAATAGTTCAAGACTGAACTATTCATGGAATATATAAAATACATTCGCATATTAATACAGAGGAGTCAGAAGTACAAAAAACTGAGGCGTCGGAGTCGGAACATTTATCTACCAACTCCACAGCCCTGGGCAAGAGAGGTCATAAAATGGGGCAGAACTCACTTCGCAAATTTCTCACTTGGCAACATAAATTTTGGGCCCAATGGTGGTCGTAAGTTGAGGACTACCTGTGCTTACAACTCTATGTCATCTATTGATTGATTACACGCCTCAAATGTTGGCCTGACCAATCACAATAAGTCGATTTTTCAGCCTGTTCGTTTGTCCCTAACCTGGCCTTTCAACTCTTCTGACGGTGCCGAGTCCGTACAAGATTAAAATATACACAAATTAAACAGATCTTGCCCAGAAACTAGCAACATTAATTGCATTCTGTTGCACTGGCCATGAGGTCCTCAAGTGTACACAAAAGGGCAGGATTACATATGTGTTGTAGTCTGCTTGTTGCCACAATTGCTGGGATGTGGACATCTCTGCTGTACAAAATGCCAGTGTACTCCTCTTGTTCTAAGTATAAATATATTGTGTCGCAAATGTAATTGACTTGTCAACTTTGGGGAACATAGGAGCCCTGGTTGCACCGTGGTTAGAATGCAGCATTGCAGGCTAATTCTGCCCACTGCCAGCAGTTCGATCCTGACTGGCTCAAGGTTGACTCAGCCTTCCGTCCTTCCGAGGTCGGTAAAATGAGGACCCAGATTGTTGGGGGCAAATATGTTGACTCTGTAAACCGCTTAGAGAGGGGTGTAAAGCACTGTGGAGCGGTATATAAGTCTGAGTGCTATTGCTTAGGATGGATGGATGGATGGATGGATGGATGGATGGATGGATGGATGGATGGAAGGAAGGAAGGAAGGAAGGAAGGAAGGAAGGAAATGAGAAGGAAGTGGTGATGCACAGGAGTTCAATTTTGATGAAGTTCAAGGTTGACTCAGCCTTCCATCCTTCCGAGGTTGGTAAAATGAGGACCCAGATTGTTAGGGGGCAACAGGCTGACTCTAACCTGCTTAGAGAGAGGGCTGTAAAGCACTGTGAAGCAGTATATAAGTCTAAGTGCTATTGCTGCTATCTTTGCAATGTCATCAAAACACGCCCGACAAGATTCCTTTGGAACCATTGTTCTGTGAACGTGCTTCGGATGGCCTTCAAACAATTTTCATGGTCCTTGCTCTAAATAAATAAATGATCCTTGGAGATCAGGAGTACCCATGCTGGCTGGCTTAATCTTCTCTAGCTCAGTTTCAGTTTCGGTGTATGTTTGTACGGGGCTATTTTTATATCTGAGAAAATGAATTGGGTCAGAGGCTGATCGTGCCTTTTATTTAATTTAGGGCCGAAGAAGTCGTAAGATGGACGCCACAGTCACACGCAGTTCTTACCAGCCTCCGCAGTTGGACAGGAACATGTACTACATCTTCACCGAAAACCACCATTACGGCAGCAAGGTTTTCCAGGCAGGGAGCATGTGTTACCTGAAAGAGCAGACGTACCTGCAGCACATTAGCAGGACGTCCACTCGCTTGTGGAGGTTTGTCATGGAACAGGATGGCTCCGTGGCTACTTTGGACGTGGAAAGCCTGCAGCCGGTGAACGAGAAGATGGCCGACTTCCTTTTGGCCATTAGCAACGCTCAGGAACGTTTGAACTGTTTTCTAGACAGGCAAGCTCTAGAGGCTGCCATGATGGCTGAAGAAGGCCAGCAGGTCTTGGTCGATCTGGGAGATCAGTTTTCCCCCGCTACCGTCCGCTATATTGGAAGACTTCACCACAGCCCTTTACCGTCAGGGCTCCACCCAATTTACTTTGGAGTGGAATTGCAGGTAACAATGGGTGATTATTTTTCTGCCAGGAGGTGACAAAGTACAGGTAGTCCTCGACTTACGTTTCATTTAGTGACCGTTCGAAGTTACAATGGCAATGAAAAAAATGTGACTTAACGGCCGTTTTTCACAGTTACGACCTTCGCAGTATCCCCCGGATCGTGTGATCCAAACTCAGATGCTGGGCAGCTGGTCCATACTTACGACCACTGCAGTGTCCCAGGATCACACCTTCCCTTTTTGCGACCTTCTGACAAGCCAAGTCAATGTGGAAGCCAGATTCGCTTAACATCCAGGTTACTGACTTATCCATTGCAGCGATTCACTTCATAATTGTGGCGAGAAAAGTCACTTAACAAATGTCTCAGTAACAGAAAATTTGGGGGGGGGGCTCAGATTGTGGTCGTAAGTTGAGGACTCTCTGTAGTCAACTTAACCTGTTGTATGCGGACCTGTCTCTTCATCACCGGGTTAATAATAATAATAGTAATAATAGTAATAATAATAATAATAATAATAATAATAATAATGTTGAAAGGGACCTTAGAGGTCATCTAGTCCAACCCCCTTCTCAGGCAGGAAACCTTATGCCATTTCAGACAAATGGCTGTCCCGTCTCTTCTTAAAAACCTTAATGCAGCCTAGCACTGTGTTGACCTTTTTGGCAGCTGCAGCACACGGCTGGCTCCTATTTAGGTGATTGTCCACTAGGACTCCGAGGTCCCTCTCACAGTTACTACTATTCAGCAAGGTACCCCCTATACTCTTCCTGTCCAGTTGGTTTTTCTTGCCTAAATGTAGAACCTTACTTTTTTCACCATTGAATTTCATTTTGTTAGATAGCGCCCAGTGTTCTAGTCTGTCCAGGTCCTCCTGTATCCTAAGCCTGTCTTCTGATGCTTTTAAAGTTTTTATTCCATACTGTCCAGAGTTCCTCCGTGAGGGAGATGGGTAGTTCTTAAATACAACCATTAAACAAACAAATATTAGTGATATTAGTGAGTTTTATTCTGTTGAATGTTTATGGTATGAATCTAGATCGGATTTGAGCCCCTACATTTTTTGTTGCTAAGGAAAACGTCTGTTAAGTAATTTTTTTTACCCCATTTTATGACTTTTCTTGCCACCGTTGTTAAGCGAATCATTGCAATTGTTAAGTTGTTAAGTGAATCTGGTTTCCCCATGGGCTCTGCTTGTCAGAAGGTCTCAAAATCACGTGACCCCTGGGACCTAGCAACCGTCGTAAATACGAACCAGTTGTCAAGCGTCCCATTTTGGTCACATGACCACGGGGAGGCTGCATTAGGTTGCGTGAAAAATGGCTATAAGTTACATTTTTCAGTGCCGCCGTAACTTTGAACGGTCACTAAATGGCCTGTTGTAAGTCAAGGGCTACCTGTATCAGGATTCTGTTGACTCCTCTGAAGGGTTTCTGGGCTAATAGTCACCGTTGCTGCTGGGGAATTCTGGGAGCTGAAGTCCACCTGTTGGATGATGGCTGGGAGAGTTGAGTCCACCTGTCTTAAGAGTTGCCATGGTTGAGACATACTGAGTTAGTGCAATGCGCCCAGAAAAATTCAACCTCCACCCCAAATCTAAGGGAGATTATCTCCCTGGGGAAAGAGTTTTGACTTCCTTTAACCTAAGCCAGGGGTAGGCCACCTGGGCTCTTTTATGACTCGTGGACTTCAACTCCCAGAATTCCTGAGCTAGCGTGGCTCAGCTTGGAACCCTCTCCCTTTCCCCTCAGCATGGCTGGCTCAGGAATTCTGGGAGTTGAAGTCCACGAGTCATAAAAGAGCCAAGGTGGCCTACCCCTGGTCTATATTATGGGTGTCCAACCATGGGAACTTTAAGACTTTGGACTTCAACTCCCAGAATTCCTGAGCCAGCCATGCTGAGGGGAAAGGGAGAGGTTTCCAAGCTGAGCCATGCTGGCTCAGGAATTCTGGGAGTTGAAGTCCACGAGTCATAAAAGAGCCCAGGTGGCCTACCCCTGCTCTAGGAGGCTCACCACTTAGAGCAGGAGGACTTAGGATAGGGGTAGGCAACCTGGGCTCTTTTATGACTTGTGGACTTCAACTCCCAGAATTCCTGGCCCAGCCTGGCTCAGCTTGGAAACCTCTCCCTTTCCCCTCAGCATGGCTGGCTCAGGAATTCTGGGAGTTGAAGTCCACGAGTCATAAAAGAGCCAAGGTGGCCTACCCCTGCCCTAAGCAGATGTCCTGGGGATAGGCTGGGGAATTCTGGGAGTCGAAGTCCCCAAATCTTAAAGCTTTGCCAAGGTTGGGCACCCCTGTCCTCAAGCTATGCTGCGGAGGCCCCTCAATCCTGACACCTGTCTGCTACTTCTCCAGGATGGCGGCGAAGGCCGAGGCTACTGTGCTGGCACCTACCACGGGGCAGAATACTTCAAGTGTAAACCCAAGTGCGGCCTTTTCCTGCCATTCAACAAACTGCAGTTTCTGCCGGGGTCAGAGGACAACCAGGTGGAGGCGAAGAGGCAGAAGGCGGATGGAATCGTGCCGGTGAAAATGGGCGACACCGTCGGCTTTTATTTAGACGACGCCTTCACGCGAGGGATCGTCCTGGAGGTGTATCAGAAAGGAAATGAGTGGCTGGCGAAAGTATGTCCGGTAAGAAGGTCTAGAAGAGAAAATTAACGCCTGGAATTTATCTGTCGGTTTCATTCGCTTGTTTCTGTCGCCCCCCAAAGGTGCTTTTCTAAAGGCAACTGGACTTTCTTTTCGAAAATGTTTCGCTTCTCATCCAAGAAGCTTCTTCAGTTCTTGGAGGAGAAGCGAAAATGTTTTCAAAGAAGAAAGAAAGAAAACAAAATCCAGTTGCCTTTTGGAAAAAGCAGCTTTGGGACGACGTCTACGAGCCCAGACAAGCTCAGAGAGCACCAAGGACTACGCAGAAAACGGTCAGCAATGAATCCGGCCTGTGAATAATAAGATTTTGGTTCCCCGCTTGTAAAAATGATGTATTCTCAGCGCTCGAGGCGGCCCCTTTGATTTCAAGCTCATTTTAATAATAATAATAATAATAATAATAATAATAATAATAATAATAATAATAAAGTTGGAAGGGACCTTGGAGGTCATCTAGTCCAACCCCTTGCTCAGGCAGGAAACCCTATAAATAATAATATTGCTCCAACCCCTTGCTCAGGCAGGAAATTTAATAAATAATAATAATAATATATCATTTCAGACAAATCCTATATCATTTCAGACAAATGTGGGGTTTGATGTGGGGTTTGCTTCGCATTTAAATACAGCAGCCCACCTGCCAGTCTCGCCGGGGAGGGGGGTATGGTGAGATGTGGTTTTCTCCTTGGTCTTTCCTAGGGTATTCCCGGGAGTCTGGCATTCAGACAAGTCAGCCCTCAACAGACCCATAGAGATAAACCTTGTTTTCACCACCGTTCAAAGGAGACCATGAAAAAGCTAAGAAGGAAGCGATAAGGCCGGCTGAGGAATTCTGGGAGTTGAAGTCCACAAGTCATCAAAGGGCCACGTTTGAAGACCCCCTGCTCTAAACAAACGCATTGGGTTGGATGCACTGTAAGAGGTTGGGGTCCATACGATTCTTTCCGTCCACGCATTTTGTGACTTTCCTGGATAACCAGATAGCGCTGGGCAGAGTTACAAGGAATAATGGCTTTTCTTATTTTGAGGGAGAAAAATATGAGACGGTATTCTCTTTCAGAAAACCGCCACACCCTTAAATCCGTTCGTTTGCTTGCTTCTTTGACAGGAAAGGGAATAAAGTTTTGCAAAAGCTTGCAATGCTTGCTTGGAGGAAGGTAGAAGGAAATTGGAAACGAATCAGCTTGCGGGAGTCCAGTGTCTCTGCAGGGGACATATGGGGACATAGTGCCAAACGTGGACGCTTACAATAAAACATAAATGAAAGCTAGTTGCCACGGTAATGAGATCTTTGAGGCAAGGCGCCGGAGTGATCAGAAAAGATAAAATCTGGAATGAGCTCGTAAGAGAAAGAAGAGGCATGGAACCAATCTTAAACCACATACAAAGACAGCAGATAAAGAGGTTTGCTCACCTGGAGAGACCGTCTTGGGATTCTATGTAATATAATAATAAAGTTGGAAGGCACCTTGGAGGTCATCTAGTCCAACCCCCTGCTCAGGCAGGAAACCCTATACCATTTCAGACAAATGGCTGTCCAGTCTCTTCTTATAAACTTCCAGTGTTGGAGCATTCACCACTTCTGGAGGCAGGTTGTTCCACTGGTTAATTGTTCTAACTGTCAGGAAGTTTCTCCTTAGTTCCAGGTTGTTTCTCTCCTTGATGAGTTTCCATCCGTTGCTTCTTGTCCTGCCTTCAGGGGCTTTGGAGAATAGCTTGACTCCCTCTTCTTTGGGGCAGCCCCTGAGATATTGGAAGACTGCTATCCTGTCCTCCCTCGTCCTTCTCTTCATTAAACTAGACCTACCCAATTCCAGCAGCCATTCCTTATATGCTTTAGTCTTCAGTCCCCTAATCATCGTTGTTGTTCCATACCATAGAAGGCATATACAAAAAGAGGAGAAGGTCAAAGAACAGAGTTGCAAGATTTGGGTACGGCTAGTCTAGAGAAAACAAGGACTGGGGGTGACATGATAGCAGTGTTCCAATATTTGAGGGGCTGTCACAAAGAAGGGGGTGTCAACCTATTCTCCAAAGCACCAGAAGGCAGGACAAGAAATGATGGAAACTCATCAAGGAGAGAAGCAACCTAGAACTAAGGAGAAATTTCCTGACAGAAAAATTAACCAGTGGAACTACCTGCCTCCAGAAGCAGTGAATGCTCCAACACTGGAAGTTTTTAAGAAGAGACTGGACAGCCACCTGTCTGAAATGGCATAGGGTCTCCTGCTTGAGCAAGGGGTTGGACTGGAAAACCTCCAAGGTCCCTATCAATCCTATTATTGTAGGAGATGACCAGGCCAGGCCGGAGGGAGGGAGGGACTATCAGATTAGAATCTCTTCATGCCCACGAGAGATCTACGTCCAGTCCCTCTTGAATTCTGTTGATTCTTATCTACTGCCAATTTGCCTTGGCTGTTAGTAGTCCAGATGTACTTGCATTTTTCTGAAAGGAAATCATTTTTTCTCCAACTAATGTTGTTTTAAGTTTGTAAATTTAAAATAACATTAGTTGGAGAAAAAATGATTTATCTGAGTTATTTTAAATTATCTACAAATAAAATGGAGAGGCAAGTGTCATCCAAACTCTCTTTAGTCAGTGATGGCGAACCTTTTAGAGACTGAGTGCCCAAACTGCAACCCAAAACCCACTTATGTATCAGCAGGTGCCGGGTGGGCGTGGCCCATTGGGTGGGCGTGCCCAAAATTTGGGTGGGCATGGCTTCAGTGGTAACGGCACACTGGGCGGGACTAAAAAGTTCAATCAATCAATTCCAACTTTGTGAGATCTTTTTTTCCCCGTGAGAAGTTGAAATTGATTGATTGATTGAACTTTTTTAAAAAAAATTTTACACACGGCGGCGGAAGCCTAAAGCGAAAAGCTTTTATAAAACCCAGCTGAAGGCCTAGGACTGGGGCGGCAGTGCGCGTGCCGACAGAGAGGGCTCTACTTGCCACCTGTGGCACACGTGTCATAGGTTCACCACCACAGCTTTAGTGTAAAGAGAACTTCATTTCTCATACATATAAGAAGAAAAGAAGAAATAGGGGTGACATGGTAGCAGTATTCCAGTATTTGAGGGGTTGCCACAAAGAAGAGGAGGGGCTCAAATTATTCTCCAAAGGACCAGAAGGCAGGCCAAGAAACAATGGTTGGAAACTGACCATAGAGAGAAGCAACCTGGAATTAAAGAGAAACTTCCTTACAGTGAGGACAATCAACCAGTGGAACTGCTTGCCTCCAGAAATCGTGGGCGCTCCATCACTGGAGATTTTTAAGAGGCTAGACAGTCACTTGTCTGAAATGGTATAGGTCCTCCTGCTTGAGCAGAGGGCTGGACTAGAAGACCTTCAAGGTCCCTTCTAGCTCTATTCTCTTCTACTACTACTTTAACTACATAATATTCTGCACAGAAAAATGCCTACCTGAAAACTGACATTTTGAAAACAATCCTCTAGATTTGGGCAAGACTTAGTCTGAAACTCACATTTCATCTTGCCCTTGACCACATTGGGCTCTTAAGATTTAGAATCCAGTGGCGTAAGGAAGGTGACATATTGTCTGCATCTTTTCTAGTGTAAATTCGTCGAAATAAATTGTCTGTGGATATTCTCAATCATCCGAGTCATGATTGTCACAAAGGTGCTTTTTTTCCAAAAGGCAGCTGTGGCCTTCCTTGTTTTATTTTTCTTGGAAAGTATTTTGCTTTTCATTCAAAAAGCTTCTTCAATTTTGAGAAGACCCCCCCCCCCAAAAAAACCCCACCAAGCTCAAGAAAGTCCAATTGCGTTTTGGAAAAAAAGCCCCTATGGGACATCAAAAGCACCTTTGCGAGATCAAAATGAATTATTTATCAAATTTATTTATCAAATTTATTTGCCTCCCATGTCATTGTTCAGAGGACTCTGGGCGGGTGAACAATGCTTTTGTGTAATATCTGCAGCTGTTATACGTGGGAAGAAGCATTAATACATGAAGTATTAATACCACTTTACAATGCCTTGGTAAGGCCACACTTGGAATACTGCATCCAGTTTTGGTCACCACGATGTAAAAAAGATGCTGAGACTCTAGAAAGAGTGCAGAGAAGAGCAACTAAGATGATCAGGGGACTGGAGGCTAAAACATACAAGGAACGGTTGCTGGAATTGGGTATGTCTAATTTAATGAAGAGAAGGACGAGGGGGGACACGATAGCAGTGTTCCAGTATCTCAGGGGCTGCCCCAAAGAAGAGGGAGTCAAGCCATTCTCCAAAGCGCCTGAAGGCAGGACAAGAAGCAACGGATGGAAACTAACCAAGGAGAGAAGCAACCTGGAACTAAGGAGAAACTTCCTGACAGTCAGAACAATTAACCAGTGGAACAACCTGCCTCCAGAAGCGGTGAATGCTCCAACACTGGAAGTTTTTAAGAAGAGACTGGACAGCCATTTGTCCGAAATGGTATAGGGTTTCCTGCCTGAACAGGGGGTTGGACTAGATGACCTCCAAGATCCCTTCCAACTTTATTATTGTTGTTATTATTATTTTTATTATTATTAATAAAGGAGAAAATTTACTCCATTCACAACCATCCCTCCTGCCAAGGTCTCAAAATCCAGTTAAACTTTCCCTTTTCTCTCTCTCTCTCACTCTTTTATTTTTAGGAGGAAGAGGGCTCAGCCGATGTTTTCCGAGAGATCCCTCTGGATTCAGTGGTGAAGGAGGAGCTGCTCTCTTTAGGTAAACTGATGTTCTGGGTAGCCTGGAGTTTTATTTGTCCTGTTTTTGGAGTGTGGGAAGAATCACTCAGATTATTAGAAACACTCCCGGTTGAATCATGGATCTTCGTAATAGTACCAAAGTGGTTTGTGATGGCTTTCCTTGAGAAGTTCTTGTTTCTTTCCCAGTCCTGAGATTTTTTTTTTTTACACTTTCCCATCCCAAGAATGAACCAGGTCTGTCCTGGTCCAGTTCATGCCTCTTGGGCGAAAACTTGATAATCTTTTTTTAACTAGCAGAAAAGGAGGTGCTTGACCAAGCATAGAGAACAGTTCATCTGAAAGTGAGACTGTTGCAAATAGTCAAAGATCTAATAATAATAATAATGATGATGATGATGATGATGATGATGATGATAAAGTTGGAAGGTACCTTGGAGGTCATCTAGTCCAACCCCATGCTCAGGCAGGAAACCCTACACCATTTCGGACAAATGGCTGTCCAGTCTCTTCTTAAGAAACTTCCAGTGTTGGAGCATCCACAACTTCTGCAGGCAGGTTGTTCCACTGGTTAATTGTTCTAACTGTCAGGAAGTTTCTCCTTAGTTCCAGGTTGCTTCTCTCCTTGATCAGTTTCCATCTGTTGCTTCTCGTCCTGCCTTCAGGCGCTTTGGAGAATAGCTTGACTCCCTCTTCTTTGGGGCAGCCCCTGAGATATTGGAAGACTGCTATCCTGTCCCCCCTCGTCCTTCTCTTCATTAAACTAGACATAACCAATTCCAGCAACCGTTCCTTGTATGTTTTAGCCTCCAGTCCCCTGATCATCTTTGTTGCTCTTCTCTGTACTCTTTCTAGAGTCTCAGCATCTTTTTTACATCGCGGTAACCAAAACTGGATGCAGTATTCCAAGTGTGGCCTTACTAAGGCATTGTAAAGTGGTATTAACACTTCACGTGATCTTGATTCTATCCCTCTGTTAATGCAGCCCAGCACTGTGTTGGCCTTTTTGGCAGCTGCAGCACACGGCTGGCTCCTATTTAAGGGATTGTCCACTAGGACTCTGAGATCCCTCTCACAGTTACTACTATTGAGCAAGGTACCCCCTATACTATACCCTGTACATTTGGTTTTTCTTGCCTAAATGTAGAACCTTGCTTTTTTCACCATTGAATTTCATTTTGTTAGATAGCGCCCAGTGTTCAAGTCTGTCCAGATCCTCCTGTATCCTAAGCCTGTCTTCTGGAGTGTTGGCTATTCCTGCCAGCTTGGTGTCATCTGCAAATTTGATGAGTTCCCCATCTATCCCCTCGTCCAAATCGTTGATGAAGATGTTGAAGAGCACTGGGCCCAGAACAGAGCCCTGGGGCACCCCACTACACACTAAATCAGTGTTTCTCAACCTTGACAATTTTAAGGCATGTGGACTTCAACTCCCAGAATTCCACAGCCAGCAATGCTGGCTGTGGAATTCTGGGAGTTGAAGTCCACATGCCTTAAAATTGTCAAGGTTGAGAAACACTGCACTAAATAGTCAAAGCTCTCCAAGCAGGAGGTCACACCTGTTCCTGTCTGGGCTTTTAGCAAGGAGGAAAGCGAAGCGTCGTCAAATTGGAATTAAAAGGATTCCCCAGAAATAGACACACAGGCATCGCTTTTCTCTGTTTGATATAGACCAGGATTCTGGGCTCCAGGAATATCTCGAGCACAAGAGGAGCGAAAGTACAGAGCATCCGGAAGACGGGACCGGCTCTCTGGATGTCAACTCCGTGGTCCAGATCAACTTAGACAAGGGACGTGCTATGACGGGGACCATCCGTTGGATCGGCTGCCTGCCTAATGCCCAGCAAAGGATGGCTGGGATTGAGTTGGTAAGCACCCCATCCCGTGTAATGTGTTCCTAGCCTTGCTCTCTCTTTGATGTGGACTTCGGGTTTTAAGTGAGATCGGCACCCAGAGCCCAAAGCTATGCCGGTGGATGCCTGGAGAATAGAAACTTCGTTCATCCCCGGCAGCTGGGCCCACCGGTGCCAGACGCCCTGAAGATGAAATGGATTCGTTGCTCTCGGTGGATTCTCTCCGCTGATCTTTCCGGAGCCAGCAGGCATTTGAAGTCTGATGATCAAAAGGACACGGAGGGAAAATGTTGGCACTAATCTTTGGGGGTGTTGCCTTCTGGCTTCCTCTTGGCCATGAGGGGATCATGAGGGAGCTTGCATTATTTATGGTGCCTTGAGTCCATGTCTGTCTGTCTGTCTGTCTCTCTCTCTACCTACCTACCTACCTACCTACCTACCTACCTACTTACCTACATGTGTGTATCTGTGTGTGTGTGTGACTGTCTGTCTATCGGTCGGTACCTATGTCTGTCTGTCTGTCTCTATCTATCTATCTATCTATCTATCTATCTATCTATCTATCTATCTATCTATCTATCTATCTACGTATCTGTCTGTCCATCTCTCTCTCTCTCTCTCCCCCTCACCTACTTACCTACCTACATTCTTGTCTCTGTCTGTCTGTCTGTCTCCCTCCCACCTACCTACCTACTTGTGTCTGTCTAACTATCTATCTATCTATCTATCTATCTATCTATCTATCTATCTATCTATCTATCTATCTATCCATCTATCTATCCATCTATCCGTCTCTCTCTCTCCCCCACCTACCTTCCTACGTAGTTGTCTATGTCTGTTTGTCTGTCTACCTACCTACCTATTTACGTGTCTGTCTCTCTGTCTGTCTGCTTGCCTACCTACCTACATCTGTCTTTCTGTCTGTCTGTCTGTCTACCTAGCTAACTAGCTAGCTACCTATGTCTGTCTACCTGTCTGTCTGTCTGTCTGTCTGTCTGTCTGTCTATCTATCTAATCTCTATATCATCTATCTACCTACCTATCTAATCTACCTTTCTTTCGCTCTATCTCTCTACCTACCTAGCTACCTACCTACCTATGTCTATCTGTCTACCTACCTACATGTCTGTCTGTCTGTCTGTCTGTCTGTCTGTCTGTCTGTCTGTCTGTCTGTCTGTCTATCTATCTATCTATCTATCTATCTATCTATCTATCTATCGTGTGTGTGTAAATATTCTTATACAAAGGGGAACACACACACACACCCCACGGAGCCCACTGCCAAGACCTCTTCACAGGTAGTTCTCAACTTATAATAGTTCATTTAGCGACCATTCAAATTTACAACGGCACTGAAATAAATGGCCATTTTTCACACTTATACGATCGTTGCAGCCTCCCCAGAGTCACGTGATCAAAATCCGGCCATTTGGCAATTAAGTCCTATTTCTGATGGTTGCAGAGCCCTGGGGTCATGTGATCCCCTTCTGAGAAGCCAATGGGGTAAGCCAGATTCACTCAACGACCGCGTTATTAATTTAACAACTGCAGTGATCCCCTTAACAACCGTGGCAAGAAAAGTCGTAAAAGGGGGAAAAAAACCAAACAAATGTGTCACTTAGCAACAGAAAGTTTAGACTTGGTTGTGTTCATAAGTCCCTGTAATAGGGAAGAGGGGCTTAAAGAGGGGGAAAAAAAAGAACATTAACTTCCAACTCTTTTCAGTGCAGTAGCATAAAAGCAACAAAACGGTAGCCCCAACTTTTTTACTTTTGCGTATTTGATATATTCCAGCCATTTCTCTAACAGCAAACATGCGTTAATCAGCAGATTCCCAAAGTCAGAATTTCATCCTTGATTCCAATCGTGACCTGATCGTGATCTTCCTTCCTCCAGTCAATACCCAAGAGGTATTTCGGATCACCCTCGGTCCCGTTGGATTGGCTTGCTTGAGACCTGTTATCCTCCCTGACAGGATGAAGAGAATAACAGTTTTTCCAACGGAGAGTGGCAAGGTGTGCGATACTTTACCTGTCCTCCCCGCCGGGCCCTTTTCGTGCGGCTGGAGTCGTGCCAACCAGATTCGCGCTTCCAGGGGAACAAGTGCCTGTTTCAGGAGCCCTCTGAATTCAGTAAGTCCCTTCCCTTTGCAGCGGCTGGATGCGCAGAATCCTCAGTGGGCCTCAGTTTGAACCCTTGGTCGGCGCAAGAAAAATGGGTGGATGTGGTTCTTGATTTATTTATAAGTAACTCAATTCAGCAAACAGACCTACAATTCTTTCTTCCTCCCTCCTGTTTCCCTCCCAACAAGAACCCTGTGAGGTGGGTTAGGCTGAGAGAGAGAGAGTGACTGGCCCAAAATCATCCAGCTGGCTTTCATACCTAAGGCAGGACTAGAACTCACCGTCTCCTTGTGATTGGCCCAAAGTTACCCAGTCAGCTTTCATGCCTAAGGTGGGACTAGAACTCACCGTCTCCTAGTGATTGACTCAGTCACCCAGTCGGCTTTCATGCCTAAGGCAGGACTAGAACTCACCGTCTCCAGTGATTTGACCCAAAGTCACCCAGTCGGCTTTCATGCCTAAGGCAGGACTAGAGCTCCTTGTAATTGGCCCAAAGTTACCCAGTCAGGTTTCATGCCTAAGGCGGGACTAGAACTCACCATCTCCTGGTGATTGACCCAAAGTCACCCAGTCGGCTTTCGTGCTTAAGACGGGACTAGAACTTAAGTCCATGAATCATAAAAGAGCCGAGGTTGCCTACCCCTGCACTAGCCATTCCTGTATCGGCAAATCAGTCTAACCGGTAAACCCCAAAATCATGATACCGTTTTTTTGCCACCTCAAGCACAAAGTCCAGAAGCGGTTTCCAAGTAGAAACAAAAGAACTTATGTTCTTTTCTTTTATCAGCACAGTCAATTTGGCCATTGCATTACTTTTAGACATACTCACCTTTCATACTCACCTTGTCATAACGTGTTACAAGGTTTGAAATTCCTTAGTCGTCGTCGTTCGGCACCAAATCTGGGCTACGGGGAGGTGGGTGATCAAAAACATCCCAACGGAACTGCTCCGAAAGTCCTTGGGTGGGTCTAGCGGTGTGCAGGCGATGATTGTCGCGAACCGACGCCACACCGGAAGTCAGGCCCCGACGCTTGTTATGGATGGCTCGCCTGAGCTTTCGCAACGCAAGGGTCCCCAACCTTGGCAACTTTGAAGACCTGTGGACTTCAACTCCCAGAATTCCCCATCCATAACAAGCGTCGGGGCCTGCTGACTTCCGGTGTGGCGTCGGTTCGCGACAATGCTCGCCCGCACACCGCTAGACGCGCCCAAGGACTTTCGAAGCGGTTCCGTTGGGAGGTTTTTGATCACCCACCTCCCCATAGCCCAGATTTGGTGCCGAGTGACGACGACTAAGGAATTTCAAACCGTGTAAGACGTTATGACAAGGGCCTCAGTTTGAAAGGCTTGTTATGGATGGCTCGCCTGAGCTTTCATAATGCAGGGATCCCCAAGCTTGGCAACTGTAAGACCTGTGGACTTCAACTCCCAGAACTGGAGAATTCTGGGTGTTGAAATCCACAGGTCTTAAAAATCATCAAGGTTGGACATTCCTGCCTTAGTGCATCCGCAGAAAAGATCTCTTTTGCATGCAGAAAATTTTTAAAAACAGACTAGATTAGTGACAGAGCGACAGAATATTTGAAGCTCAGAGTTGAACTGTGGGGTCCCTGGTGGTCTCTGAGCTTGGTTGTTTTCTTGCAGACGTTTCATTACCCAACTAGGTGACATCATCAGTGCTAGAAGGGAATAGGGTCTGTGGAGAGGAGGAGGAGGAGGAGGAGGAAGAGGAGGAGGACGACGACTGTGGGATCCCTGGTGCTCTCTGAGCTTAGTTGTTTTCTTGCAGACATTTCATTACCCAACTAGATAACATCATCAGTGCTAGTAGGGAGTATGGTTTGGGGAAAAGAGGAGGAGGAGGAGGAGAACTCTGGGGTCCTGGGTGCTCTCTGAGCTTGGTTGTTTTCTAGCAGACGTTTCATGACCCAACTAGGTAACATTATCAGTGCTAGAAGGGAATAGGGCCTGTGGGGAGGAGGAGGAGGGGGAGG